CTGAAGCGGGCGCGTACATTGCGGAGAAGAAGACCTTTTTCGGCTTCAAGACGCGCAAGGGTCGCCTGGGCAGAAGCAAGTCTACCGTAAAGAAGATTGGGCTTGTCGGAGAACAGTACAACGCCAACGGCAGCGCCGGGCCCGCGAGCAAGACAAGCATAGGCCCAGACCAGCATGCGCGCATCCAGGCTGCCGCCGCCGCACTGCAGCGCAAACGAAGAGAACAGGAACTCGAGGAGGCCAACAAGGAGCGCGCAAAGACAGAGATGAACCAGACTTCAAAGACCAACTCTGTACACACGCTGCAGCCAGCCATGATATCCGAAATGTCCCAGGCGATGAAGTGGGCGAACAACTACGACAAGAACAACATTCGCAATGCCTACTTGGAGAACTCGCGTGCCGGAAAGGGACAGCCGGCCAGCAGCTTCGATCTAGGCTCGAGGTCGTCCACCGACCAGAACAAGCCGGATGTTCCCCCAAAGCACGAGAGCAGTACCTCCGGGCGAGATATACCCTCTATTCGCGAACGACTGCCCAAGTCTCCTACTAGCACTGCTCCCGGATCAGGCCCTGCCACTCCAAGGGCAGCGTCCCCTGCCCCTGGCCTGGTAGAGAGTATCAACTTTGACAAGCCTACTCCTCCACCTCCTCATGTGCCGGCTATTGTCCCTGTTACCACTACAACTATTACAGCCTCCCCCAGCCCTGCTCCAGCCACCGTCCCACACCCCGTGAAGGAAGAAACTACCGAAACTTCCGTGGCAGACGACAGGAAGCTCAAGAAGAAACCAGGCAACACCGGTCTCAAGGGAATGTTCGGCGGTCCCAAGGCCGACCAGGCTGAAAAAGAGTCTGCCGTTGCTGCTGCCCGTGCCGCTCTCGAAGGGCGCACCGCTCAGGCTCAGGCTCAACCCGCCTCTTCCTCCGCGAGATCATCGCCAACCCCTTCATCAAGGCTCCCAGGCACACGCCGTCTATCTGGATTCGGCATGAAGAGATCCCAGGATGAGACAAAGCCCGCCGTCATCGAACGCAAGCCCGCTCCGCCCGCTAAGGAGGAGCGCAAGCCCACTCCTCCGGTCCCAGCGAAGGAAGCCCGCGTTTCACCACCTCCACCAGAGGTCCAGAACAGCCAAGTCCGCGACCTAGAGCCTGTTTCCCCCATTTCCCCAGAAACTTCCAAGCCGGAAGCAAGTGCATTGTCGTCTTTCTCCCATCAGAGCCCGGTTGTTGACCAACCTGCCTGCGTCCCTGTTGAGACGACAACTCCTCCAGCTGTGGAGACCAAGGAGGTTTCCCCTGTCCCATCATCAGCACCGTCGTCAGTACCGTCACCAGCTCCCGTCCAGGCGACTCAACCCAGCGAGTCCAAGACTTTCACCGTCGAGGCTGAAAAGGAGGTCCCCGCCGCTGCCGAGCCAGAAGTCCCCGCCCTCGACCGATGGGCTCAGATCCGCAAGAATGCCGCGCAGCGTGCTGCCGTACCCGATGCGCCCTCCGCAGGCCCCACTGCTACATCTTCTCCAGCCGCTACTACACCCGCAAAACAGTCTACCACCCAGCAAGAAAGTAAGCCAGCGCCTATGCAACAATCACCTATGAGCCATGCTAATCATAATCCAGCCATCGAAATGCGAGCTGCACGTATCAAGGCTCGTGTAGCCGAACTCACCAAGAACATGGAGTCTTCCCGCGCCAGCTAAAGATCCATCATCCGTCAGCTTCTCTCTTTTCACGCCTTTAAAATCTGATGATTGAATTCTCCAAAAGAGCTCACGTCGGTTTCTTGTTTTCTTTTTTAATACTTAATCCCATTTGTCTCATACCCCCAGATTATCTTCTAAATTTGTTTCGCCCTCTCGCTTGCCTCACGTTTGATTTGACAGCGCTCAACTTCCCTTGCTACAGTCGCGTCTTGACTCCTGTTTGATATCCAGCTTCGTTCTCGTTTCTCCAGTAACTACTTACCAGTGTCTGGGTTTGCTTCTGCTTACTTTACTTTATACCCGGGCCATCTCATATGTCTTTTCTATACGTATACACCAAACAACACAACACACAATTCGCTCAACCCGACTTTATTCCTTTTAACTAGACCTTTCTCGACAAGCAGACCGAGTTTTCCAGCTTTTAATACTCTGCCTAGCTTCATTTACCCCTCCCGCCATACTGCGTTACGTTACGTTACGTTGCGTTCCCGCAATATTTTGTACTCTACAAAGACCCCCGTTATCTTTTTTTGCCCTGTAATAGCCTCTAATCTTTCTCCAATATATACAATACGGCTTGAATAATTATGTCTGTGAGTCTCTCCAGTTGAGGATGTTA